TTTCAGCCTTATGTGCCATAATTATCTTTATCTGTGAACCAAGTCTCAGTGATAGCAAAAACATCAGCACCAGTGGAGAGTCCATAACAAACAAAATTTGCAGATTTGTTCTTAAACAACATTTAACTGTTAAAACTTGTTTCTTTCACGGCAACCAAGTATATCAATCATGTTTTTGCTGAGCCAACGGCACGGAACGGCGTTCCGGGCGTAAGCCCGGGGCAACGGTACTAATTCCGCCCGGCTGTTTAAACGCGGGAAAACGAAAGCATTAACGAAGTCCAAAGTTCACTAATGATCGCGGGCGTGGCTCACCATGTATGTTTCGGTGGGTGGTCATCCTCAGTGATCTCAAAAATATGGCGGACTGTCATGAATAGCGAACACTGATTGGTCAAATTTAAAATTTGCATTATAACGACTGCATCACGACAGCAAAACAGCAAACATTTCTTGATTTGATGATTTCTTGCAAATATATTTTATTTTTGCAAGATTTTGTGAATTTCAAAAGCTTTTTAAGAAAATAAAGGCTAAAGAGTTGAAAGCTGAAAGAAGGGAGTAATTTTAATTTAAAAAAAAATTAAAGGCGCCGACGTTAACGAAGGTATGTTTGTTTTAAATATTGATGTATTGTTCGCCTTATAAAGGGCTTTAAAAGCAGATCGTTGCGTATATTTTAAACGAAAAAGACAGCATATAATTTCAGTGTTTCTTTATTGATATTAACCAGTTTTTTATTGAAATCATTTTATTTCAAACTAAAAGTTTTTCGATAAAGCTTAAGGCAGTTTAGTTTTAGGCTGATGAACATTTTGAAACGTCTTGCGAAGCGCTTATATATATATATATATATATAATATATATATATATATATATATATATATATATATATATATATATATATATATATATATATATATATATATATATATATTATATATATATAATATATATATATATATATATATATATATATATATATATATATATATATATATATATATAGTATATATAAGCTTAAGATTTTGGTTTACGAAACACAAACAGTGCTCAATACCATATAGATAGAGCGTAATATAGTTTTTCGTTTTATCTAAAAAAAACACAACAGTCTGTTTCATCCGTATAGGAATCATCAGATGACCACCTGATGATATATATATATATATATATATATGGTACCGACGGTACCGTTTCGGCCTTATGGGCCTCATCAGTGTAGTGCTGAAGACCAGGATGAAAGTAACTGCTATTTACAGTTACCTTTGATGCCTCATGATTGTGGGACATCAAAACCATGCCAGAGCGCTCAAACTGCAAGCAGTGAGCGTGCGCAATGCGTGAGCGGCATGCCTCATCCTGTAGAGCGCTCAATATAACCTAAAGGCCATAGAGCGATATCTATATTAATATGAGATCCATTACCACGATGCGGTTTTGTGGTTGCAACGAGTAAATTGTCACTTTGCCGTAAATGTTTTATGTTTTTGTCTAAACATAAATATTTGCAAACCGGCATCGGAACCCAAAGTGTATCTAGGAACAATAATATGTGGAACTGAATAGTTTGGTCTGCTTTGTTTGATATGCTTATGCAGAACAAACTCGAACTGAACATCTGCATGATTGTATCATGCAGCCATTGTTAATATTGAGGTGTATTAAAGTTTGCTTCCGCTGAATAGTCACCAAAGCCTATAACATTGTTAATTTGCGACTAAGCTATTTAAGACTTATTAAACCGCTGTTAGGGGTGAACGTTTTCAGATAAGCCAAAACGGTTTGGATATCCCAGATAGCATAATGCTTATTAGCAGGTGGTTTCCATTCAAATGCTCCTTTTAGGAAACGACAAACTAATGGTGTTTCCCCACTGGGAAGTTACCAATGGAAATAAAACATGATAACGCTGATCTGGTACCGTTAATACTAGAATATGATAAATGCAGTTGTGTGTACAAGGATTCCAAAACATGATTTAAAGTAAGGGAATGTGCAAGAATTTTCCTTTCACGACAGAATAAATTCCACATGACAAGATAACCTAACGTCATCAGAAAAGCCCTGGCTGTGATGATGTTGCCGGACAATGCACAGGTCATCAACTTCAGTTTGCCTTGCATGCTGTGGACCTTGCCTAATTGGTGTCTCATTAACTCCACTTGAGGGGTCCACAACAACAACTTGGGTTGCTGAGTCAGCATCTGTAGAAAAAGAGGGCACCATGTTTATGTGGGCTATGCAGGGACCAGTAAATTAAACCCCTTCGGCTTGGTCTCGAGAGATTTTCTCCAGACATTTTGGAATGAGACTAAATGGAGGGAAAGGATAAAAATATTCATTCGCCCATGATACACTAAAAGCATCCACTATTGCAGCATGTGGATCCGGGTGCCAAGAAGCATACCGTTCTACATGTCTGTTCAACAAAGATGCAAAAAGATCAATACTAAACTTGAAATGTCTGTAGAGAACAGCCTGGTTACAGCGCTTAAAATTAAAAATCAATCGATATGAACCATCCGGACGATCCGGTTTAGGTACTACAAAAATTGAAGATATACATTCTCCCGCAGCATGCATCGAGTTAGATATGACTCCAAGCTGCATTAGTTTATCCACTTCCTTACTAATAATATCATGTTGGTGGACATTAAAATGCTGATGCCCTGGAATGCTATATTTAGAGGGGTCATCAATGAACTCTATGTGAATGGCCATGCAACATTTTACATTTTATTGCTCAAAACAAAAACATGGCTAATATTTCCTCACTCGGTATAAGTGAAATAATACAGAAAACGAGTAGACTAGACCTTAATTAATCATGAGTCCTCTAACAATCTAATATTTAAAGTGTATACGCGAAGAAGTATAAATTAAATTTTAAAAGTTTGATTTGAACGGGAATATATCGCGCGCGCTTTGTTCAAAATGATCAATTATCAATTTTATTTTCCCAGAAATACTCGTAAACCGTTCTATATTTTTTGAATGACTTGATTTCCACACGTCTCTATAGGAGATATCTTTCTTCTATTTACCTTCTATATTCATCGATCAATAAACCCAGGATCATGTCGGGCAATTCTAATCATGCAATGTTGGAAAATGTTTTCCCGCCCTACCCGCGGCCGCAATTCTACCCGTCCGTTAATCGCCGTTTTCGTTTTGTGCAAAACAGCGATTTATAATTACGAATTTTGGTGATCTTCACCTCTTACCGCTTTTATTTTGCCAAGTTCTATGGAAAACCGAATGCATTGGCATTCGACATTGGCATAAAGCAACCTGTTTGCGTTTGTGGAACATGCTTAACTTCATTGAGAATTAAATTCTCTTCATTAGCATACAAACTAGACATAAACTTAACTAGCAAAACATTACAACTATAGACTATAGTGCTAATATGCATGTATGCATACGCAATGTAATAATTATAAACAGGTCCACTGTGGTTTTCTCGCTCAAAGGTCGCAGTTTCACGGTTTGTTACATTATTTTGATCTTCAGGCGATCGAACGCCGAATTAACTGAATATGTTCAATGTGCATGCCTTCTTGTTCTGCGCTAACTGAAAAACTGAATTCGCGATTAGCATACAACTTATGCAACATGTATTAAAACTCTAAAAACACGCGTTTTCGATTGATTATAACGTTCGCATTAACTGCAGTTAACTTTCACTATTTTATACAATTTGCGATTGTTTTGATAGTTATATAGCTACTGCTCAGTTTTAATCTATACCAGCTTCTATTAATAATGCAGTATATGGTAATTTTCTCCAATTATTTCCATCTATCCGGTTTATTTTCTTGCCTTTTATACAGTATATTTTATTATTAAATAACTATACTTCTCTCCATAAAAGGGCATTTCATTTGAGATAATTGTTTCGTGTCATATATATGCGTTTCAATTTGCATGCAAGTTTCAACATTTGCATGCAAGTTTTCTAAATTACTTTTACTGATTGCAGTAGCTTGTTGACACAGAGCGAAGTAACAGATAATTTAATGCGAGTTTTTATTAACAATACAATACAATACAATACAATACAATACAATACAATACAATACAATACAATACAATACAATACAATACAATACAATACAATACAATACAATACAATACAATACAATACAATACAATACAATACAATACAATACAATACAATACAATGCAATACAATACAATACAATACAATACAATACAATACAATACAATACAATACAATACAATACAATACAATACAATACAATACAATACAATACAATAAAAATTTATTTATCCACGGTGGAATCTTCAGTATATAAATATATACAAGTTTAAGCATGCAAAAATAAACAAAAGAATATGATCTACTGGTTTACAAGATTGCCGTGTGGGAGTTCATCTAAACTATTACAATACTTGTTTACAGCTTTCCGGAACTGAGCAAACGATTGGAGCATTCTTATATTTTCGGGAAGGCTATTCCACAGCACTGCTCCACTGTACTGAAAGCTTCGCTTCAGATAATTAGTTCGTGGCTTGGGTAGATTTAATTTCATTTCAAAGTTCCTAAGATTATATTCTGAGCCACAAACTGAAAAAAGATTTTGTAGATAGGTAGGTGTGTCACCTTTGAGTGTTTTGAACATCAAGCCAGCTTTAAGTTTTTTGCGTCTCAACGATAAGTTATCCAAGTGTAAAGTATCAAGAAGCATAGTAGCATTAGTGTCATAGCTGGACCTCGTAATGACCCTGACCGCCCGATTCTGTAATTTTTGTAGTTTAGAACTTAGCGTTTCGCCAAGACCATCCCAGACCGAGCAGCAGTAGTCAAAATGAGGTTGAATCAGTGCTTGGTATACTTGGATAGCCGTGTTCGTTGAAATGCAGGATCTTATACGTTTTAAAGCCCCTATGGCTGAAGCATTTTTTTTACATAGTTTGTCAGTATGCTCAGACCACATAAGGTGATTATCAAGATGGACACCCAGAGATTTTACCGAAGTAACTTGGTTGACCATATTACCGTTTATCTCAATATCTATTTCATTATTTAGTGTTTTTATTCTCTGTCTAGATCCAACTACCATGAATTCTGTTTTTACAATATTTAAGCTTAGTTTATTAGTGGTTAGCCAATCGCTTAGACCTTTCAATTCGGTGTTAATGACATTTTGGAGCTCTTTGGCAGAGTCGGATGCATAACTAATACTTGTATCATCTGCGAACATTCTTGCAGTTGTATGATCAAGACAGTTCGATAAATCATTAATGTAGATGAGGAATAGCAATGGCCCTAGGCTGCTACCTTGAGGTACACCGCAGGCCACTGGCACATAATCTGACAGTTGACCGTTTACCCGGCACTTTTGAGTTCTATCAGTGAGGTATGAATGAAACCAAGTAAGACTGTTTTCGTTAATACCATAATTTTTAAGCTTTTGTAGGATAATTTGATGATCGATCGTATCAAAAGCTTTCTTTAAATCAATAAATACAACTCCGTTAATTAGGCCATTGTCAATATTCATGGACCAGTCGCTTGTGGCTTCTAGAAACGCTGTTAGGGTACTGTGGAACGGTCGAAATCCAGATTGGCATGTGTTCAGCAAATTATTTGAATCAAGATACCCATGTAGTTGATCGAAAATGATTTTTTCAAAAATTTTAGCAACACATGGAATAATTGATATAGGCCGATAGTTGCCTGGGTTATTTCTTGTGCCACTCTTAAATACTGGCGTTACTCTGCTTGCCTTCCATTCATACGGGAATATTCCGGTATTAATAGATGCAGTGAATATTCCTGTTAACGAGGGTGCAATAACACTTGCAGCTATCTTTAGGAATTTGTTTGGTATATTGTCCAAACCAGCTGACTTCTTATCATCTAATGTAGTCAGCAGTTGATAAACTGTGTTAACGGAGAGAGTTTTGAGAGAGAAAGATTTATCAGTTGGTTTAAGATAAAATACTGGATTACGCACAGGAGCAGGAATATCGGAAGCAAGTTTTTCACCAATACCTGAGAAGTAGCTGTTAAATGTTTCAGCTATTTCTTCAGGTGCAGTTATTTCTCGCTCTTCAAAATCTAATTGTGATATCTTTTTAGTTTTGCTTACATTTCTAGAGGTTAGTTCATTTATAAGGTTCCATGTTTTTTTCATGTTGCCTTTACTCGATTCAAGATTATTCTTATAATAAGCTTGTTTATTTTTTTTAATTTCATTATTAATGTGATTTCGAGTTTGTCGATATTGATGCCAGATTTTAGGATCATTGGATGTAACAGCTTTCTTTTTTAGGTAATCTCGGTTAAATATCTGGCGTCTTAAATCTTTTGTAATCCAGGGAGATTTTCTATTTCTAATTCTCCTGGATCTAACAGCGTGGTATAGCTTGATTCATGGAACCTTGCCGAAAGGTGTACTTCATTAAGAAAATGATGTAACAGTTTTAAACGTGTGCAGGTGCATTTTAACATTTTCGCATAGTTATCCTCATATTTAATATGCGACAGAACACGTTTTAAAACGGAAAACAGGAAAGATCTCTACTGACACAAGACTTACAATGGAAACAAACATTTTTGTTAACGCGTTATTTCTGTGTCTTGTGAATGTTGCCTTCATGGTTGCAGGAATATTTCTGAATACTGTGGTTATATAATCAGTCTGTGGAGGTCGTCACAACTTCGAAAGAAACTATGCTACTTTATGATCCTTGTTTTATCTTGTTTTGATCTGGCTGTAGTCGCTATTGGTCATCCTGGCCTTATATTATCAACTATTCTGTGGTCTATGGAAATTGATCATGAAGAAATTGTACGCGCACACGGGAATACGCAAGTTTCGTCTTTGGAGGTTTGTCAATGTTTGCGCTTTTAACACTGACTATCGAAAGATTCCTGGCCCTAACCTGTCCATTTTTTCATCAAACTGCAGTCACCAAGGAAAGACTTTTACTCTTTCGGGCCTTTTCGATGACCATAACAGTCAGTTTGCCGCCACTTGCATATTTTTACAAGAAAACAGGTATTATTCTTATAGCCGTGTTTATTTTATTCCCCTTGTTCGTGTTCGCTTGCTTAAACTACAAAATGTTTATCATCGCCAAGTCAAAACGCAATGATGAAAGGGTTTCTCCAACTAGTACAGCAACCTCCAGTAATCAAGAAAGAAGAAGACGCAAATTGAATTTCAAAAACATTTCCACACCATCTATGGCAGTTGGCTGTTTTTTTGTCTGCTCTTTTCCAGGATATGTATATTCTACTACGCGTTTGACACTAAACAAGCCTTTTTACAATAGACAAGTCTCGCTAGTTAACATATGGTCTATTACGCTTTTCTCCATGAACTCGACATTCAACTGTCTGATATTTTTCTGGAGAAATTCCATCCTCCGTCGCGAAGGAATGAAAATAGCAAAACGCTTTCGAAATGCGAATTCCTAACTGGATGTGCTAAGCAATATGTTGTTGGATATTATAAGGTGCAACTTAGAATTACCATTCCTATAGTGCAAATTTACTTGTGGATATGATCAAATGCGCTGTACATCAAGAATTACGCTTACCCAATTACATAGTTAGCGGCCAGGATTGTTTTATCTTTACAACAATTGTAATACTAATTTCTGAACTGTGTTTTTCCAACCCAGCCTGGCAGATTTCCTTGTGGGAAGAAACCGGAGCAGCCGGATCGAGAAAACCCACGAGTTTCGGCAGAGCGTTGGTTGACTCTTAATTTGCATATGAGTTCGTAGGCGTAGCGAGAATCGAACCTACGAACTCAGAGGTAAAAGGCGTTTGCTCTGACGACTACGCCATGCTTACACTCTGGTTACAAAAAGAAAAACCTTTCTAGGGCTCTTAGTTTAAGCCTTACATCCAATCGAGTTCAGCATTTTGGTCCAATGTCATCCACCATCGCTGAATACAACGTTGTTGAGTTTTTCATACATGCTTGGTAATGTCGAATCATGTTCGAACACAAGAAGCACGCGACTATGTCCAATTTAAATATATCTTACACATTTAATATCCATACATAGGCTATGTTTACATTGTATCGGATCGGTTTTTGCTACGTTCGCGAAACGTTACAGCCCAAGTGTAAACAGCTTCCGCCAACCGCGCCCCACTTCGGAAAGCGAACCGCCGCACCACCGGTTTGTTGCAGAAATTGAGACGATAACAGCATTTCATATGTAAACAGAAGCCCTATCCCTTATTGTTATTGTGTCGGACGCACAGTGATCCAATACAATGTAAACATGGCCAAAATCTCTATACAGTTATATCAAAGTAGTCACGTCGGTGTAGAAACACGCGAGGCGGGTAATGTGCATACAGTTATATCAAAGCGTTCAGTGCAGAAAACACGCGATGCGAAAAAAAGCGTGCGAGGGAAAAGCGAGGAGAGAGGATAGGGTTGAAATTCAGGCGCTTATCTGATTAGCGTGTTCCGATAAGTTGCTTTGGCAGATGTTTGCCAACAGAAGCCATCGGATGACAAGGCGACCTCCGCTAAGAATTATTAATAACAATATTGACAACAGTCTTTTGCATTTTAGAACAAGTCATTTGAGTAAGTAACTAAGTATATTTACATATTTGAAATTTCAAACTGCAGCATGTCCTTTGTTAATAACTCATATAAAATTCTTCTGATGTTCATAGGAGAAACAAGCCACCAGGCTAAATGAGATTTCACTTTGCGCTAGGTGGAATCTCAGTCAAGAGGGATACAATTTTGCATATATTATGAAGATTTTACCCAGCTGATTTTGACCTGTAATATAGTATTGGGCGCTCGCTTTTTGTTTGCTTTACTTTGTTTTATTCATAACAAAATCAGAAAGCTTAAATTACAAGCCAACTCACGAGTCTCGACTGCGCATCAAAATGACGCATTCTACGGCATAAATTGCAGTGGAATCATAACACAGTACACCAGGGTACCTGCAAAGTAGGGATTACTGCGGGCATTAAGAGATGATGTCATAATAGAACACGAGTATGACATAACCAGTGTTGGATTAAAGAAAATTTTTTCAAAAAAAGTCTTCTTTTTTCTTTTATTAATAAAAGAAGATTTTCGCCAATAAAAGAAGATTTTCGGCATTCGAAAAAAAATATGATGACGTCATCATGTGACATAATATTGGTATATATATAAATTTGTGTGACATCCTCACGTCATTCATTCGTAGATATATATCATGCAGTGTTAATTTGTTTGTTTTGTAAATTCAGAAATTATGATTGATTTTTAAATGAATATCATATAGAAAAATTGAAAATAAAAAACAATAAAAGAAAATAAAGAAGAAATTTAGCCAAAAAAACCTTTTTTTGTTATAAAAGAAAATAAAAGAAAAAATAGTAACCCTGAAATGATTGCCTGAAAAGGCAATCATATGCATGCAGGTGATAGATATATTAAACATAAGCGTCTCATTGAATACTTGCGTGTTAATTAATGTTAATGTTAATGTTTATGGAAGTAATATTCACTAAAGCTTAAGCAAGAATAGCTATATATTTTCAAGACCATGCAAGTGGAATCTGTTCAATTGCGCGCTGCATGCTTAAGTATAAATACAAACGACAAAGCGTTCTAAATATATACAGCATGAATATATAAAATTTCCGAAACCAAGTGCCGGCAAGTGGAATCTGTTGAATTACACGCTCCTTTATTAAATAGTACACGTATAAATACAAACGATAAAGCATTCTTACACTTAAGGGAATACCTTTTCTAACTTAAAGCAAGTCAACCATGCGGAAACTAATTGTTCTTTTTAATTAATTAACTAGAAAATACATGCATGCAGAAACCCTCGCCTTGCTGACAAAACCATTGGCATTGTATTTTCCGAACGTGAAGTATTTAATGTAGTTGTCATGGTAGCACGATATTTTTTTAAGAATATTTTTACCAATGAGAAATCCCCTAAAAATATCACTTTTAATTACAAAATTATCAATTTCCCATATATATATATATATATATATATATATATATATATATATATATATATATATATATATATATATATATATATATATATATATATATATGTATATGTTTGGTATTTTTTATACGTAATATAAGTGTTTCGCTAAGTTAAAAATAGATAAATAATTACGTCATTGAACAGACAAAGTCACGTGACAGAAAAGAGCGGGAAATAAACACGTCGGTTTTAAGCTGTTTACTCGAGGTTTAACGTTCAGAAATAGGTTTATATTTGGTGTATTGTAAAGTGATATAAGCCAAAGAAGTAAGTTCATGTTGTTTATTATTACTAATTTACTTTATTCAGTAGATAATTCTTGTATTTATACTTTTAGATCGAATATTACTACTACTATTACTACTACAACTATTATACGATATTTGGAAATTATTTGTGGTCACTTTACAAACCGGTAATTCTGATTCTGGCGAGCCATAAATTCGATTTCTAGCTGACCAGGGCTTAAAGGATATTCAGAAAATGACGGAGGTAACGAAGGAAGCGTTAAACGAAGCGAAAAAGAAGCGGAGATGTGCAAAATCGAGTGTTACAAGGGCAGGAAATGGTTTGGATTATTTATTGAAAAATGAGAGACCTATACCGGAAGTTGAGGAATCACTCGCTAATTTGGAAGATTTATACAAGAAATTGGTTGAAAAACACGACGAATATATTCAGTTGGTGGATGGCGATGAAGAATTTGCAATTGAGGAAGAATGGATTGAAGATTGTCAACAGAGGTTTATGCAGATAAGGATCAGAACAAAGGATTATTTAAAGGTCAAGTCACAAGGTCAGTTTGAAAATGAAACAAACCCAGAAACAGGTTTAGTGCCCAATCAAACCGAGACAACTGTTAGTGACAATGGGCAGCAAGAGCATGACGGTTTCCCTGGGTCTGGTGAAGGCCCATCCCACCAAGGTCAATCCCCAACCCACGAAAGTCAACCCCCAACCCATGAAGGTCAACCCCCAACCCATGAAGGTCAACCCCCATCCCACCAAGGTCAACCCCCATCCCACCAAGGTCAACCCCCAACCCACCAAGGTCAACCCCTATCCCACCAAGGTCAACCCCCATCCCACCAAGGTCAACCCCCATCTCACCAAGGTCAAACCCCATCCCACCAAGGTCAACCCCCAACCCACCAAGGTCAACCCCCATCCCACCAAGGTCAAACACCATCCCACCAAGGTCAACCCCCAACCCACCAAGGTCAAGAACACAATAGTTCAAGTGAGGGTGCCCAAAGTATTTCAAATGTTCAACCTGTTTGTGGTTTCAAAATGGAGAAGCCAAAAATGCCTCGATTTAGTGGTGATGTCAGAGAGTACAGTATTTTTCGAGATGACTTTAAGCATGCTATTGAATCTAGATACAGTAAACGAGATGCAATGACGTATCTTCGTGCATGCTTGCAGGGAAAACCCCTAGAGCTTATCAAAGGAATTGGTACAGATTATGATGGTGCATGGCAATATTTAGACTCAATCTATGGAGACCCCAGATATGTGTCGGACCAAGTAACCCAAGATCTGTCAAAGTTCCGACCCCTGAAAGAAGGAGAAGATTCACGCTTTAGTGATCTGGTGCATTTAGTAAAGCGTAGTTTCAATACAATGAAGGGAGTGGGAAAACCCCATGATATGGATAACAATCACATGTTATCACTAATAGAACAGAAAATGTGTGTGGAAGATAGAAAGATTTGGGCTCGTGAGTTGGAAAGGAATGAAAAGACAGCAAGCTTACAAGGTCTCATTGCTTGGATGGAGACGGAAATGAGGTCGACGATGCGTGCAACTGCTCCACTGAGAAATCCGAGTCAGGGTTCGAGATATGTCAATCAGCTATCTGGAGGAAAACCACCAAAGTGTTGGATCTGCGACAATTCAACGCACTGGGTAGACCAATGTGAAAAATTTAAGTCCATGAGTCCAGAGGACCGTTTGAAAACAGTAAGAGAAAACCACGCTTGTTTCAGTTGTCTTAAGAAGGCCGGACGTAATCACAGAGCATCAAACTGTAGCAGAAGGAAGCAGTGTACACAGAAAATAAGTGGCGTTCAATGTAAATATTATCATCATATTCTTTTGCATCCTTCAAATCCTGCAGCATCAGTGGGTGTAGCATCGGTAGAAAACAACACGGAAGCAATGCTGCCAGTTATAACAGTGAAGATATCTGGAAAGAACAATCGACACAAACAAGGAAACATTCTACTCGACTCTGGAGCACAAATAAGTCTGATTTGCACACGTACAGCAAAGAATTTGGATTTAAAGGGAAAGGATGTTTCGATAACTATTAGAAAAGTGGGCGGTGAAGAAGAAGTGTTGGCGACAAAAGTATATCAAGTTCCCATTACGTCATTGGAGTCTGGTGCGAAGTTCACAGTCAAAGCTGTTGGAATTCCACATATTAGCGATGACATTTCAAATATCAATATTGGTGAAATGGCAAAAGGAATTGGAATCCCTGAAGTTAAAATTTACCGAGAATGTGGCCCAATCGATATGCTTATTGGGATTGATCACGCTTATATGCATACTGGAGATTCAAAGAAAGTCGGTAACGTTGTTGCGAGACATTCACCTCTTGGTTGGATTATTTTTGGAGCGATACCAGGCTTGCAGCAAACCAGTAGAATATTTCATGTCCAGTATACAAGACCTGTAGATCTTACTGACTTTTGGACGAGCGAAGCAATGGGAGTTAGTCAATCAAATATTGAAATGCCAAAGTTGAGCAAGATCGAGCAAGAAAAAACCAAACTAATCGAGCAAGGATGCAAGCTAATTGGAAATAGATGGGAAATGGCATACCCTTGGAAAACTGACCCCCAAACCCTTACCGACAACCGAGAACAAGCTGTGAAGAAGATGGAAGCAACTGAAAAACGATTGAAAGGGAATCTACAGCATGCAAAAGCATATCAAGAACAAATGGAGCAGATGGAAGATCTCGGGTTTTCACGAAAGCTAACAGAAAAAGAAATAAATGATTACAAAGGTCCCGTTCACTATATAGCTCACCATGAAGTTGTTCGACATGATAAGAAGAGCACGCCAGTAAGAATCGTATTTAATTCTTCAGCAAGATACAAGGGACACTGTCTTAACGATTGTTGGATAAAAGGTCCTGACCTTTTGAACAGCATGTTGGGAGTTATCCTCAGATTCAGAGAGCAACCGGTCGCTGTAAGCGGAGATATATCAAAGATGTATCACAGAATTGGAATACCTGAAGAAGACCAGCATGTACATCGGTTTTTGTGGCGAGATATGGATACAACTAGACCACCAGACACTTACGTAAAAACTGTGTTAACCTTTGGTGACAAACCAGCACCGGCAATGGCACAAATTGCATTGAGAAAGACGGCAGACCAAGCAGAAAACGCTCATCCATATGCAGCCGAAGTGTTGAAAAAGAATACGTACATGGATGATATTTGTGATTCCGTACCCAATGTCGAATGTGCCCAGCAACTGACGAAAGATCTGGACGAAATCTTAGATAAAGGAGGCTTTAAAGTAAAAGAGTGGTTATCGAACGAAATTCTAGAGGAAAATCTACCGTCTGAAGAAAGATCAAGTGTTAAGTTTTTGGAAGGTGAATCGGAAGAAAAGGTTCTAGGTGTTGTCTGGAACAATAGTAAGGACGCTTTCACGTTTAAATGTAAAGCTAATGAGCTATCTGTACCGTCACAAGAAAATTCAAGCGAGTTGAAATTAACGAAGAGAAAGATCCTTAGTAAAGTGGCTCGTGTATTTGATCCAATTGGATTCGCAGCGGCGTTCCTGATCCGTGCCAAAATCGGTTTACAACGACTCTGGCAGTAAGGATTAGATTGGGACGAAGAACTTTCATCTGAGTTTTCAAAGTGGTGGACTGAGTTTTTTGCAGAAATCGAGGACTTGAATAATGTCTCGTTCCCAAGAAGTTTAACACCACCGGACACTATTGGACTACCGACACTTTGTATTTTTGCGGACGCGTCTCGAGATGCATTTGGAGCATGTTCTTATTTACGCTGGGAAAAGTCAAGTGGTAATTATGAAAGTCGATTTATATCTGCTAAGTCGAGAGTTGCCCCTCTTAAAGAATTGACAATACCTCGTTTGGAGCTACAGGCAGCAGTTCTAGCTAGTCGATTGTACAAGACCATAATAGAAGAATGTCGTTTACAGTTCGAGAGAGTTATTTTTTTTACGGACAGTATGATAGTCCTTACATGGATCCGTAGTCAGTCAAGAGAATTCAAACCATTTGTGTCGAGCAGGGTTGCGGAAATTCAAACGAATTGTGATCCATCGACATGGAGACACATACCAAGTGAGCACAATGTAGCCGATGATTTATCGAGAGGCATTCCAGTGAAAGAACTAGAACACCGTTGGAAGAATGGCCCAAAGTTCCTGAATCAACCCAAAGAAGAATGGCCTGAACAACCAGCTATGCCAATCGATCCCGCGGAACTCGACAAAGAACGTCGAAATACACAAGCAGCCTTTTCCTTAAGCACCGTACCGACAGTAATTGTCCCAACGAAATTTTCGAAGTGGAAGAGATTGGTGAGAGTGACGGCGTGGATCTTACGATACATACGAAATCTACGATTAAAAACGAAACCCGAAGATAATGTCGACCCGTTAACAGCTGTTGAGTTAGAACAGGCTGAAGAGTTATGGATCAAGACAGCACAAAAAGAGTTACACGAACGTGTTAAGAACAAAGAGTTCAATATGCTTAGTCCATTCACAGATGACAAAGGAATCATAAGAGTCGGCGGACGAGTGGATAAAGCTATCGTAACGTATGATTCGAAGCATCCAGTACTTCTTCCCAAGAACCACCACATTTCATACCTGATTACCAAAGATGTACATCAGATTACTCACACTGGGATAGCGTCGACAGCGGCGAAAACAAGAAGAAAATTTTGGATTATCGGAGTGCAAAAATTGGCAAAGTTAATCAAGAAAAAGTGTATTTACTGCAAGAAGTCGCATCCAAAAATTGAATCGCAAGTTATGGCTGAACTGCCGAAGATAAGATTGATGCCTCAAACACCTCCATTTTACCATACAGCTTGTGACTATTTCGGTCCGTATAAAGTCAAAATTGGAAGAAATAAAACCACTAAACACTATGGTGTTTTGTTTACTTGTCTGAACACTCGGGCAGTTCATTTGGAACTTGCAACAGACTGTTCAACAATGGAATTTATCCAAGTACTCCGAAGATTCTTCGCGATTAGAGGTTACCCTTCATTAATGTTGAGCGATAATGGAACACAACTGGTCGGCGCAGAGAGCGAACTAGCAAAGATGATCCAAGGTTGGGATGTGAAGAAACTCAAGGAGTATGCAGCAGATAAAAGAATGGAGTGGAAATTCATTACTCCTAATGCCCCACATCAAAACGGATGTGCCGAATCGTTAGTAAAAAGTTGTAAATTAGCCCTTAAACAAGCCATGGGAGATAACCTTCTCACACCATTTGAATTGCACACCGTACTGCTTGAAATAGCAAATCTGGTAAACCAACGACCAATTGGTAGACCAACCAACGACCCCGATGATGGTACATACCTATGTCCGAATGACCTTTTATTAGGAAGAGCTTCCTCGCATGTTCCACAAGGACCATTCCTGGAGACAAAGAACCCGCGTCATAGAGTTGAATTTCTACAACAGATTCTTGACTCGTTTTGGAAACGATGGACTAGAGACGTCTTCCCCTGTTTAGTTTCACGAAAGAAATGGGATGTTCAACGACGCGATGTCAAAGTCAACGATATTGTCATGTTAGTTGATTCGAATGCAGTACGAGGCAATTGGACGATCGGAAGAATTATTGAAGTTCATCCAGGTAAAGATGGAAAAGTTCGAAATGTAACAGTAAAAACACAAAATGGTAATTACCGAAGACCTATTACTAAAATCTCAGTAATACACCCCGTGGACGGAGAATAGAATGAGAACAATGTCCTCATTGGGGTGGAGGATGTTTCGCTAATTTAAAAATAGATAAATAACTACGTCATTGAACAGACAAAGTCACGTGACAGAAAAATAGCGGGAAATAAACACGTTGGTTTTAAGCTGTTTACTCGAGGTTTAACGTTCAGAAATGAGGTTTATATTTGGTGTATTGTAAAGTGATATAGGCCAAAGAAGTAAGTTCATGTTGTTTATCATAACTAATTTACTTTATTCAGTAGATAATTCTTGTATTTATACTTTTAGATCGAATATTATTATTATTACTACAACTAAAACTGATTATTATACGATATTTGGAAATTATTTGTGGTCACTTTACGTACCGTTTCTGATTCTGGCGAGCCAGATATATAGTTATATCAACACTCGTGGAAATTGGGAAAACTCGAAATTGTGTGAAAACACTCCGCCCTTTTCATTCCTCATTTTCCCAATTTCCACTCGTGTTGATATAACTGTATATCAACACGGAAAAAATGTTTTATATTTGTTAAATATTACCTGATGTTTGTGGTTTCTTCTGGTTTGATTTATCGAGCGTGACTTCACTGACTTGTTGTGCTTCTTGTACCATGCCGGATTTATGATCATGATTCTCATCACAAAGAACACCACCAATAGCACCAGGAACGTCATCTTGGCAATGAAAATTTTTCAGATTTTTAAAATTACAAAGTGAAGTACAACTACTGCATATAGACTACAGTATACTGTATAAACTGTTTTTTGTGGCAACACCACGTTTTTCATACCTTTCGATCCATAGGCCTCATGAAAAAGACTATATCATTGTTTTGTGTTTGGGTGAGAGTACACAAAGTTATAATGCAATGGGGGTTTCTTTGTATTCAATAGTCATAGGTCATGTAAAACAACACATGCGAGTTAATGCATATATATATATATGTCCTTCAAAAAAGGCCTAAATATTTAACATCTGTAGTGCGGGCACAAAGATTTTTTGTAATATTAGAAAAATATACCATTTTTGTATAGCCCCATATTCGGCATGCCTTCGGGCCGTTCGGCTTCGGCAATGCCAGATTGATCATCTGTGCAAGAATTCCCATCTTCTGACCCGGGTAGTGACGAGTAAGAAGTTTCTACATAATGAAATCATAGTGTATTACAGTTAACATAACACTGAATTACTATTTTTGCAACTGAAACTGAAGCGGTTCTTAAAATTAACTAAAATTTCATCAACAGTTGACTGGTGTAAAGTAAAAAAATGTACTTTTTAATTAACACAATACACCAGTGATGTTTAACGATACATCTACAGTAAAGGAAGGGGAGGGGGTTTCGAGAAAACGTTCCTTTGGAAAACCTGTGAAGTTTACGTTACTTCATGTCAGTATCTGTTCCAAGCTTGTTCAAATTTTTCAAACACACTTGGCTTTGTGAGTTTGTGCCGCTATGCTTCTTTACTTAAAGGTGATCTACAGTCCGATCTGCGCATGTGCACCAATGAGCCCACTTTTTATGATACAAACAGTTTAACTATGTTTTGAGTTCTTGAAAAGCCTAATTGTTGTTTCTTGATCATTTATTATACTCTAGAAGCTTGAAAATATAAATAGTTGTCGAATAAAGCTCAATATTTTGGACACAAAAATGTAAACAAAGGCTTTGTTTACATACGGACTGTAGAGCACCTTTAACTACGACATTTTCATTCAGCCAAGTACACCATCAAATTGATCAAAATGTCAAATGTATAATAATAATGAGAATTGAAGCTATTTCGTTTCAAATATATTAATATACTTAGGGAAATAATTGATAATAATTTCCCTCCAGAATTTGGGCGTCCAAAGGCGTCCATTTTTCGGTCTAGGGGCGTCCCAGGACGCCTGGACGCCCTTCTGACTAAAAGCCTGATTGGCTGTTTACCTTTTAGGAAAGTGTGCTTTATGCATTAAGTACACCTTCTTAAGTTTGTTGTACCAGCGCAAGTACGAGCGTATCAGCGTAATAATCATTAACGTGCCAGTCAGGTTTGACTAAAAATCCTGAATTAACGCGCACCCTGTGTTTAATTACCTAAACGTCAGCCTGGTGTATTTCGATGCGGGCTTATACTGTCTACATTATTTACCAACCTGTTGGTTCATTTGTAACCCTTTCTGCAGGGCTATCTGTCCAATCTTCATCTTCATTACCTGTGTGCAAATATTAACCATTTATGCATGGTAGTACGCGTTCTCATTAATAATCTTTCGTCACGGAAAAAAACGCGTGCACAGAGGACTAGGGACTAATCTGGTTGCAAAATTAAACTTCATCAATGAAACTTCATAAGAAGTTAAGAACCTCGTTTATATGATGAATATTGAGGCTGGAATTAGCAAAATTTTAAGACTATACTAAGAATACACTCAAGGCTATGGCAAGGCTTTTACCAACCTCGTCCCAAAGAAAAATCCTGGATACGAGGTTGGGCTTTTACCAGCTAAAAGCCTAAAATTGCCTTGTCTACCATTGTATAAAACATGCACATGTAAACTACCGTATGTCACTGGTCATAGAATATGGGATCAACAGTCAGTACATCGTTTGGTAGAAGCCCGGCGAACTTCAAAGCCACAAAATGAAAGACCTTTGTTTGATACTGAACTCCGTTATTCCTATTGGAAATTACTTAATCATGCGAAAATACAATGAGTTGAATTACCTCAACTCAAACAAAAACATGCCAAAACAAAAACATAACTTCTGTTTAGTTTCCAGATCATCATATGATCGGTGACATTGATACAGTAGGTGCATGGGACGGTTATTGAAAGGTTATTTTTGTAGATAATGGCAAAAATGAACAAGTTAACATGAAAATAGAAAATTAACATTTCAATGTCACTGTATGTGCTGCGAGAATTATCAACAAAGCAACAGAACACAGAAACACTTCACATGAAATTTTCAATTTTAGTCTTACAGCATTGTCCATCTGATTGTCATTGAACAAGGCGAAGGAAGGCGGATTGTGTTACTGGCTATAAACGGGTCCATTAATTTCATCGCTGATTGTAGATGATCATGGTAAATCCTCCCTTAAATTATCTTATCGTATCAATGACCTAATCCGTCTTGTTTAAAGACAAAAGACACAAAACGACTATATAAATAGTCTGAAACGTCCCGTTTTGATTTCGTTGCGAAAATCTGCCAACTACCTGTGGGCAAGTATTAATTGAAACTGTGCCTGTTGGCTGTTTCCGATAGTTCGTCTAATGCCAAAACCAACTAAGAAATTTGTTTCGGTAGCAGGTGGTAGATATCGAACTCGTTTTAATATACACAGTCACAGACGAATTATTAGACAAACTATCTTATCTTTGACTTTGTCCAGGAGGATTCCCCGTTTCTAGTAGTAGTACGTACGCGTTGTGAAATAAAAATTGGATACATATAGAGTGCAGGTTAAGTCACTCTTCAGTAGACAACCTTACCACTTCGTGTTTTTAAGATTTATTACCGTGCATGATTTATATATATATGTATTTTAATTTAATTTTTCCCATTTGACAATCTATACGTATAGTCGGCTGCATTCAGCGTAATCAATCAATCAAAGCATTTATGTACAGCAAAGTTGATGTGGTTGATCTTCTAGTATTTAAATTGGAGCGAATTAAATAATAAAATTGAAATCGAGTGCTTATATATTAAATTCAAACCAGACGCGAAGCCATTTGTAGTCCTCGCACGATCGAACCATTAATTACATTATTGCAACATCTTTCTAGTCGATATTATAATTCTAGGAACGAGCGAGAAGAGCGAATATTAACTATATCAAGGTGGTTATATATACAAGCGCCCTGGAATATTTCCTGCAGAATTTGCGCAAAGGTCTGCAATATTTTCGTAGACGCTAATAAAGCATGGACGCTATTGATACTCTTGCGAGTATTCGTATTACTAGAAATATAATATCTTTCAAGGAATGAAAACACTTTAAGTTACGTAAGATTATTTAATAATAAGCAATTTAATAGCAATACATACCAGCCATCTCAATAACCACTATCAAAGGCAGTATTGACCATCACATAAATATATCACACCAAATACTGGTAAAACGACCGGTTTCGGAAGCGTTCCTGGAAGAGAAAACTCAGAAAAGTATCACAACTGTCACCCATTATCCTTAAAAACAGGAATGTTGCACAATCTTATTACGTTTTGCGAATTTTTTAGCCACCAAAGATCTAATATTAGTCATGTAGGAAGACTTGGCCACTTTACAGACATTTATGAAACCCAAATTTTCAAAATAAAAAGACTCCTAAATATTTACGTTTGAAAATTTCTGGGGAACAACTTTATAGGAATTTCGGAACTCTTGCCAAGGAATTCTAGGATTTCCCCAGGCTTGGTTACCAACGCCACAACAACAGCAAAAAGCATGGACGAAGTAAAGAAGCTTTTGAAAGGTCATCCAAATCTTAGTATTGAAGAGAACGAAGACGGAAAATGCAAGGTATATCACTTTGAAATAAGTTGTTTAATATCAGGCTTTATGTTGATGTTGTTTCATGTACGATTTATTGCGAAATATGGAGGTTTTGAGTTGTTTTGTTAGTTCTGTACCGTCATTTGTAGCTGGCGATGAACAGCTGTAGATAAACACGTGGATCTTGATTGTGTTGTGAGCATTTGAACGTTTCAATGTAGTCAATATATGGCTTTACTGTAATAGTAAATGCTAGTTAAGGATGTGCTTATGAGATTAAAATCTGTCAAATGCCCATGATGACATGAACATTTTTTGGTACCAAAGCTAGCTTGCTTAATTAATTTGTCAAGATGTGTCTTGGATGTTGTCTATTATATGGCCTTAACTAGGCCGGCTGGAAATTTCCCATACAAAGGCACAGAATAGGAAGTTATACCAGAAGCGTAACTCGAGCAAATATTTGTCCGCGTTTTTACAAGCGATTCGTCATCAACACGCCATCCTGGCTAGTACAACCGGCACTTTGTACCTACCAAATCCTGATAAAAACTTCCGGCTGTACTAGCCAGGATGGCGTGGCCTGACGTGAGCGAGTTAAAAATTTTCGTGGACGTCAAACAATAAGGGAAACGACTAGAGTTACGCTTCTGGTATAACTTCCTATTCTGTGACAAAGGCAATTACCCAGGTTGGCTCACCTAAACAGGCTGAGTATTATTGCTCTGTTCACGAACACAAATACATTGTTGTGAATAAGATTTTCCGAACACATTTCGATCCTAAAAGGTCTCTGTGAAAGGTCTCTGTGATTCTGCAAGAAATAAAGTCTCTATTAAAGAGTTGCTTGTGAAAGTGCAAATTTCAGTGTGTTGATTATTGTCCAATAAGCAGATTACGGATTATTATCTTTGTCAATTATTTTCTGATCTAATAGACATCAAAAGTAATAGCCTGTTAGTTAAATATGGTACCATTATTTACAGGTTGTTTGTCAGCTGACATCCCACGAGATGCCTTGTACAATGAAAGCTGTGGAGATGTATATCAACGGAAAGAAATATAAGTATGCCTGTGAACACAAATTGACATCAAAAGAACAGGAGTTATGTTCACAACATTTAATTGAAAGAAGGAGGTACAAATTTATACAGTATTTAACTTATTAACAGGTGGGTAAAATTATCTGGCTATAGACAGAATAAAATGACAAAGTACAGTACATAAATGCGTGAAACCTATTGTAATTGGTTATATTTCAAATTCTTTTTCTAGGGGCCAACTATATTGTAAGCTAACCAAACGGTACCTAAACAATGTCCCTCATCATATTAGACAACACTTGAATGGAAGAAGATTTCAAAAAGCTCTTAATAATAGTAAGGCGTCTATTTTAATTGGTAACAAGTTTCCAAAATTTTGTAATTTTCCAGTAACTTTGCCATATCAGACAATGTAACCTGTCGAAATTTACCGTAATGGGGCCGATCGTTAGACAGTAAAATAATAGAGTAGAGCGCATAATGCAACATTTGAGAGTCTCAGTGTCTCACACAACGAAAGGCGATTTTTTAGTATTATAGTTGTTTGTATGGTAAATTTACAGTAAATTTCAACTTTTAAAAGTCGCTTTTCACGTTGTTTGAATTGCCAAGAATTTTCACGAGGACAGAAAGTACCCCAAAAATGGTGGATTTTGACCTTCGTGAGAAAGCCTAATTGGCCAACTAGACACATGGGCAGATATAAATCTGATTAAACCATTCAGCACTAGTGCTCACAAGGGAATTAAGTTTTCTGGTGTTACAGAGTAGAATAATAAACGCCTCTACAGTATGATTCATATTCTTACCTTCAATCTTCTTTCCAGACACCGTGGAAAGTACAAAATTTAATACAACTCAGGAAAAACCAGAGCATGAAGAAGAAATGAAAGATGACAAAGACATGTGGATTCCATCAGATTCTGAGTCAGACAGTGCAGAGATTGAAGGCCTTGGCCTAGAATTTGGAGAGGGCAAGACAGCAGAACATGCCAAGGAAGATAATTATTCTTTTGATGTATTAAATGTCGAGAAAACACCTCTAAGTGAAGGTAAATGAAGTTGATGTCCTGTGGC